CCAACATAATTCCATTTTAGAACACTGTGAGAAGTCTATGAAAACCAGTTTGCCTTTTGTCTCTAGTACTGAAGCTTTAAATTGTTTTAGAACCCTGGCTATTTACGTGAACAAAGATGAGGGAAATAAGAATATGTATGGAGTGATAAATGCCATAAGGAAAATACTTCACTCTTTTCCACAGATCCGGACCCAAACATAAAACAAGAGGGAAACAATGACAATTCCCAATAAAACTTGAAGCTGCCAGTCATATTTGGTTTGGAAGTCAACCAGTCCCTCTAACCAATGGGTTTCTCAGATGAAAACTCTCATCACTATAATTATCCACCGGAGACCTCATAGTATGCTTTCAGTCAGCAGTAGAACATTTGGAGTTTTAACTTTTAACACTGTTTTCTATACTACTTAAAAACTAAAACATATAAATAATTTGGAGGCATTTGCCATTGAAGAGAATTTCCCTCTATTGCTGATATGGTCCAGGTTTTACACTGTACAATTTATTAATAGCCAAACTGAATTTGAGAGCACATCTGTCTCCCAGTCTCTTGCTTCAAAGTCCAGGCCACACAATTATATGAAAAGATGCCTACAACCATTAAGACTTGAACTATTTCATCAACTATAAATTTCTTAAAATTCTTCTATGTGCCTATTAGAAATAGTAAACAACCCTGGCAAAACTATGAATACATTTTGGAATACTGTAGTAAGCTTTCAAACATGTCTCCAACCTCATTCTCCTGTCACCCACCAGGTATGTTCAGAAACAAAACCTGAGGCACTATTTAGGTAATTAAATACCCACAGCTTGAAAAGAGTAGGACTTCTTCAAGAAGTTCCCTTACCCTGCTGCTCTGAGTGGAACACCAAGGCAGCTGGCTGGCACCCCAGCAGACAAGTACAGCACTGGGAGCAGTGGGAAGCAGCATAGGAAAAAACCACACTCGGCCACCGTGCCTTTTTGTACGAGGGCATAAAGAGCAGAACTGGCCCAGTACCCCATTGCCCAAAACTTATGTGACAGAGGACTCTGGCAGCAGAAAGGAAGGTATCTTAAGGGATCCACAGCAACTACATCACCTTGAAGAATGACTATGACAGGTAAAAAGAAGTCCTTTCTCCAGCTATTTGGTAAAGTGCAAACTGCTTACACGTTTCCCTCTTCTCAGGATAAGGAAATGAAGAACATTCAGCTGGTATTTGATCCAGCAAGCCCATCCAGCACACAAAGTTTGACAAACGTGAACCAACCGCTCCGCAGAGCCGCCTTCTGTATCTCTGGTACCGTGGCACTGCAGACGCACGGCAGATGGTAGCTTCTGCTCTGGTAAAAGTGATCCTTGCCATCAGTCCACGTCCATCCACTGCAGCTGTTGGTGGGACAGAATACCTTTAGTACTCAGACCTGTTGGTTGCTGTCAAGACAGATTTTGGGGGAAACTCTCAGTGATTTACCCTGTAAGTTATACAGTGTTAGTATCCATGTAAAGCACCAGCCATGGGGGGAAAAAACAACACAGGAAAGCAGACTAGTTTAGATCAGAACTCAGAAACCATAACAGAAGAGAAAGGGACCAAGAACCAACATCAAAACAGGACAGAAGGTTTTCTATCAATCCTGGGTCCATCCCAAGCCTACCAATACCACAGACTCTGAGGTCCAATACTGGTTGTCTTCCCCAGAATTTCTCTGCTTGTGTCTAAACCCAAGATGTGACAACTATTAGCTCTAAAACAATTGCCTTGGGACCTTGCCTTATGAGGAAGGACGGACTTACATTAGGACTGCTGACATGTAGGACACCCATCATCTCCAGTACATTGTGGCTGCAGAAATCACTGCCCGTAAGTAGTTCCAGACCCTTCACAGCACAGTCTATTACAGTAAACCAGCATTGATTTTTTGCTTGACTGCTGCAAGCAATTCCTGAACACTCACAGCTCAAGCACAGGACACACTGTAATCTTGTCAGCCATCCCAGCGTGGGCTGTTTGTAATATGGAGTTAGAACCTATGGAAAACCAGCTGAACTTGGCCTTCGCTACTGCCTTCTCTTCAATCAGCCACAACTGACCAGTCTGGCTTCAAAGTGCTGCAGTTCCATGTGTGGACAAGAGGGTATAAAATACCAAGCTTTTATGGAGTGATGTTCTGCTCTAAGGCAGAATTTGAAAAAAGGAAGATATGTACCTTTTATATAATTATGTATTTAATGTTACTGTTTCACTTTCCTAAACAAATTTAGCACAGAAAGGAAGAGACATTTTCAACATCCACTGCTTAGAAAAGCAGTAGCGTGTTTTAAAATGACCAGCCCTCCTCCACAAAGCTGTGCACTGCTTGCTAACAGAGAATCAATCCCATAACAGCATAAAACATCCATTTTCACTCCAAATGCTTCAAGAGATAACTCCCTTCAAACAAAACAAAAACAAAATCAAAAAATGAAAAGAAAAAAAAAAAATCAGTGGCTTGGGCATTTTCCCAAGTCTAAATGTATAAACTCTCATTTTCGTTCCATGATCTGACACAAATTACAAAGCAGTATAAACAAAATTTTTCTCCAGGCAGCTCAGAAGGTATCAAAATTTGGAAACCAAATTTTACAGTCTGAAGAAAAAGGAAAGCAGCACATCACTTTCAGAAAAAAGCTTTATACATGAAACGACTACATCTGTACCGCTTTGTGTAACAGTGAGAATCAAATCACGAGGGATGAGTGCCTCTGAACTATGCCCTGTGTTAAGAGGAACAGAATGAGTGCAAGGAAGGACCTTCAACATAGCAATAGGAAACAAATAGTAAATAGGGATCTATCAAGTACATAATGTCTATGTCCCATGGAGCTGGACACTTAAATTTTCTGTCCTTCAATGCTCTATACCAGTACAGTGCTCCACATCATGCAGTATCAGAGGGGCTGACAGATGTTTTCTGAAGGATGTTCTGGAGATTCTCAGGTGGGGGTTACTGCCTTGAGTCAGCTTGTGGGTCACTATGTGCTAGTACTCGGTCCACTTTTACCAAAACAACGATTTTATGTATTTTTATTACTCATGGACACTGACCAAAGATTCTGCTTTAAGACAGTATTCAAACTATGCTTCCATTAACATCACAAGGCAAGTATTTCCTTAAATATTTGCATGACAGTTTCATTAAATAGTCAAGTTCAGAGTCAAGTGTTTCCTTTATTTCATGTTAAACTAGTCAGGAACTATAATCTGGAGAGGGCTAAAAATTTACAGCTAAGTTAAATTTGAAAGCAGCTCATCAAGCACTTGTAGACTCTAATGTACTTCTGCAGCTAGTGGATTGTTTTGCAGCTGGAAGGGAAAACTTGGTTTGGCTTTAAGACTTTGGTTTGGTTTTTAAATTCTTCAAACTCCAGCTGGGTTCCATAGTAGTTTTCTATGGTGATAGAAGAGAGTTTTGTCTTTGCTTTGGAGATGATATTTGGTCCAACTTTGAACTAGTCTCTCTACAGGCGGAAGCTGGTAGAAGTTAAAATATCAAGCTACCTGTATGTCATAAGCTACTTGGTTCCAGCTAGCCTGTATTGCAGTTCTCATGACGTAAAAATTTCTATATGTATTTTGGTATTGACACGAAGCTTCCTGATTGCTGTTTGCTGTAGCTTAAGTGCTTTTTAAAGCACCCCTCAAACAACCATCTCCAGGAACTCTTCTTGAACAAATCTTATCTTCTAATTAAGTGGAAAATAACTTCCCCTTTTGATGAAATATGATTCACTCTCTTATATGCCTACTTTATCTATAAATAAAGCTCATTTTTATTAAACAATTCAGTTTCCTACTTCCACTGAAGTTCCTCTAGGACTTTCACCCTATACACAATTCATAACCAACCATATAATGCCAAGAGCAGAGGCATCAAGAACCTAATGGGCAAAACAAGCTGCCATCAGACCCACCAGCATGTACCCACAGGAGACTGCAAAAGCAATTCAGAGCCACAGGTATTACATGAAGATGTACTACATGCAGATGTGTTTAAATACACGAAAAATAACAAGATAAAACCACAGGTTTTTTTCCCTTCCCCCTCCCCCCTTTCTTTTAAGTTGTCCATCATATGCAAAAGACATTCTAAATCTAAAAAAATCCTCTGGTTTTAGGGTTTGGGGTTTTTTTACACTATGCAAAATAGCATAGACCAGAAGGACCACACTCTTACAATTAAAGCACGATGCAAGACAACAACAACGACGAAGAATGTTAGCCTACACTACGAATATGCATTTTTCCTTGTCTTCTAACAGCAATTACATCGGCAGGTATTAGTACATATTAGATATACACAAAACATCACTTTACCTAGCAGATGCTACCATTGATGAACCACGTGATAAGCAGTCAGATGGCAGAATGCTCATTTGTCAACATACACTAACCCGCACTCAGCCCCACCTTCCTGCTTAGCCATCAGTAAGTACATGGCAGCCCACTGGACTGACCCATGAAGCACAACATAATTTATCTTTTCTTAAACAAACCAGCCACTTGTGATGAGCCAACTCAACTGTTTAAAGTTTCCTCATGGGAGGGTACAAATAAGGAAAAGTTCCAACACTCAGCCCTCTCACAGCAGTTTTCTCAATCCCATCTGGTCTGGTCTGATGCAATGTAAAAAACAGGGGTTGCAGCAGTTTTTACTCAAATGTGTTTTGTCTACTTTCATCACATTCAATTACTTAATTACACTACAAAATCAAGATTTTTTTTTTTCCTGAGATAGTCTGATTTGAAAAATCTCTAGATTGTATAAATTCCTACATGGCACACAAAACTATTTTTGTTCTTACATTTATTCTCCTGTTTTTGAAAACAACACAAAACAACAAACCCACACCAAAAGAAACCCAACAAATATTTAACTACTGAAAGAATGCTTAAACAACATGTAAGCATGGCCGTTTTTAAACATATCTATAGACCACTATGTATAGAAAACAAAGCTGCAAGACACTTACAGAATTGTAGACTGAGGCTCAAAAAGGCTAATAAGGCTGCCAAAGCCAGCAAGAACAGAAAACGGTTTCGGAAAAGCATTATTATTCGTTCTGCTTTCTCTTCATGGTTTCATCTTCATATATCAGTGGTTCCTGCAAACAACAAAACATTGGCAAATATATTTCAGATGGGGAAGCTTTAGCAAAGAAAATTCAAATACTCTTTTGACAGTATCAAGTTATTTCTTAAAGGCACACACATGAGGCAATTCAAATTGGCAACAACACTATCAATAAGATGTCCTCACCCTAGTTATGACATTAACTATATTTTCACAAGACAGAAGTTTCAAGTAAATAAAAAAAAAATTGCCATTTCCCATAAAATTAAGTTTTCTCCTGCTAACACTGGGTTAATGATCATATCATAACATAGTCAATAGTTCTTTCACAAACACCTCTTGCCCCTGTGCAAAGCAAATCACAATAAGAATATTATTACTTAAGAGCTCTCAAGAGCAATTTGGTAAAGCAACCCTAGAAACGAAATAATCCCATAACATGTTAAAAAGGTACACACATGCACTTTTAAACACAAGTTAAAAATTAGTTTCTCTAATTGGTAAAACTAAAGAACTGGTAGTCCTTTTACTGAAATAAAGTTCACAATTCTTATTTAAGAGGATACAGAGTAAGAAAAGTTACCAATACCCCTGCAGAGAATTAAAAACATGGAATAATTCTTTGTGAGAATATTTTTAAACAACTCTTTTGACAAGGATCAGAACAATATATTTCAAATCAGTGGCATTTAATAAAACTTCAGGAATCAGATAACTCATTGCAAAAGTTTAAACAAACAAAAAAAATGGACAAATACCCCCAGCCCTCTCCTGAAAATACCCAAACAAGAAGCATCCACAGTTAGTAAAAAACACACTTTTCCTTGCAAAATGACATCCCAATGTGCACAGAATTTGCCGAAGTGCCCCATTTTCACAGATGTCCATTTTCCATTAGAAAATGACTCTATATAAGGGACAGGGAAGGTTGTTCTCCCCCTACATACTTTTTTTTTTTTTTTTTTAAAACTACCAGCTGCTCTTATGTGCAAGTGATGCCGTTTCCTAGCACTGACAGTGTGTTGCAGAAAATTGGTTAGTCTTGAAAAAAATCTTCTGAGATTCCCAGATCCTTTGTACTGAGCTCTGTTGATGACAGCACATCCAAACATGTTGACAGAAAGTAACTTATTTCCCCCCTTTCTATTTGCCCCAGTGCTTATTTGTTATTTTCACTCCTGGAAGAGATCTCTCTTGCTTCTCTCCTGCTTTTGAGAATTAAAAGGCTTACAGTTACATGTAATTAATACATACCCGTTTATCAAAAATCTTCTGCACTCCAAAGACTAATTACCTTAGCAAGATTTTAATCTCCATCTCTGAGCGTTGATAAACCAAGTAAATCACAACCTCAAAATTCAGATTTTTCTTCCCCAATTAATTTTCTCATTAGGATTTGAATATGTCTCATGAATCACTGAATTGCTCATTTTATCTATTGTGGTTAGTCTTAAGAAGAGTTGTGGGATCTACCAACTGGTCCAAGGTGACTTCCACAGGGCAAAGCAATGGGACTCAGAGTGTAAGTGCTGATCTTCCAGAAATGAAGGCAGTGGGGCTTGCAGTAAGTCAAATGTATTACGCACATACATTTTGCAGGCCTTTCCATCTCATTTTACTTACAGAATTACCTTTACAGCTTTTGGAAACTGTGGAAAAAAATTGAAAGAACTGGAGATTCTGAGAAGCAAGAAGCCAGAGCTATTACAGTATTTTTCCAAAATGCCAATCGCACCATAAATGGCATGTGCAAGCAGTAATAAGGTTAAAAAAGAGACAGAAGAAATTATTTTAACAGTCTTAGTTTTACAAAATCATAGCTCATCCTGGAACATCATAGTGAAAGGTATGCTGAAACTAAATTGAACTAAACCACTGAAACTAAACAAAGCTGCAAAGGGTAGAAGGTATAAGCATTAGTGTATACAAAACACCAGGAGAGAATAAAGCAGTTAACCAAACAGATGGAAGAACAGAAGGGGAACCACAGGAAAAAGCAAAATTAGACTTATCACGGAGAAGGTAAAAATCTATTAAAAAGCTCTCAGGAACAAGTGGTCTTGTGCACAGTCTACACTCATTAATACTGTTGCTGCGTAAAAGGAAAGTTGCCACAAAAAGGGAAAAAATACAAGACTGAAAAAAAAGGAGATCATACACACCACATATTAGCCAAATGTTTTAGAGAACAAGCTTAATTAGCTTTAAAACTTAACTGCAACATCATAAATTTTAAAACATTTAGTGTTAAATGCAGTATTCAATAAATTATAAACAAGGTGGATTTTTCTTTTAAATATCCTTTGGCCTGTTAACAGATTGAAAGTTGCTGTGTTACAATTTATGAGGAATAGGAATAGCTCCTGTTGAGCAGCTGCTAAAGAAGAGCCTGTCAATTCAACTTGTCATCAGCTCCTACTTGAGACCAAGCTGCCAGGAATCAGGTGAAGGTAAGACAGAGTACTGGAGCCTCTGCTCCTCCGTGCTAGCACACATTGTATGCCGAGGGAAAAACAGCACTTAGCCAGCACATATTAAGTGAAGACAGGACAATAAGCATTGTGAGCACTCACTAAAGTGAGCATAGGTAGGCTAAAAAAGATAAAACTGAGCCTGAGGAGGGGAACGGAAAGCTAACCAACCTTATCCCCCCAGAAAACTGTTTTTATATACAGACTTATCAAAAAACCAAATCATACAGCAAAACACATTTGGGATCTTCAGAATATACTACCACACAGCAAGAGGCTGCAGGGTTGCAGAACATCTGCTGCTAACGTGACATTTAGAGAATATTGATCTTTATCTATTTACTCTGCACACAGGCCAGAGTGCAGGTCACGCCCCAGCCTCACCATTTCCACGCTGTAAGCTCTCAGTACTCAAAGGTCAAATCCTATCAGCGACTGCCAACACCACCCCACTAGTCTCCAGGTATGGGCCTTAGTCCTTTGCTTGAGAAACAAATAAGTAGTTATTGCTTTGAAAGGTAAGCACCACACCGCTGCAGAAGAGGCAGAACTCGGCCCTGGGAGCATCAGCGTTCCAGCAGCATGCACTGACATGTGCCAGAAAAGCAGTGATTTATCCTCATCCCTGAGAGCAGGGCTTTTGCTCAAGACCAAAACAGCCTCAAGTTGCACCAGGGAAGGTTTAGATTGGATTAGGGAAAATTTCTTCTCTGAAAGGGTTGTCAAGCATTGGAACAGGCTGCCCAGAGAAGTGGTGGAGTCATCATCCCTGGAAGTATTTAAAAGACATGTAGATGTGGCACTTAGGGATGTGGTTTAGTGGTGGACTTGGCATTGCTAGGTTAACAGTTGGACTAGATGACCTTAAATATCTTCTCCTACCTCAACGATTCTATGATTCTGTGTTTCTATATATGCAGAACTTGTAAAAGATGACCTAGAGAACACTAAACATATTTCAGCAACACTGTAGTGTGACACACATAAGCAGTCTAGATATTCTGAAGGATATTCATTAATAAAGCATCCTATATAGTAATGCAGATAATTAAAAGGCTAATTCTGAACCACCTTTTGCAGCATACCTACCTACCCACAGAATATACCTTTTTCTTTTAAACATGATCCAAAAGTCTCAACTCATCAAAACATGTCAGAATGACTCAGAGCATTCAGAGCACCCTCAGCTCTTATCTCACCTCATGAGACAGCATCAGCACATGCTAGTGTAAGGTGCCAGGCTATTGCAAGCTCATACAAGGGTAAAAACAGCCTTACAATTGAAGGCCAGGCCAGGGAGTCAGGAGACAAGCCAAGCCTCTGCTAGGCTCTTGGAAAAATTTGGTCAAGTCAGATTCTCTGCTTTAGACCAATTCACGGGAAAAGTTAGTAACTACCTGGAAGTGCTGGGAGCGCGGCGTGCCTGCTAGGAGCCCAGGCTCAGCAGGAAGGAGCTCCTGGCAGACCAGCTGGCATGACTAACCTCCTTTTTGTTCCACGCTGGCTGGGTATTGCTAGCTAGTGCTCCACATGGAACCTGCCCCCCAGCAACCCCTCCTCCTGTGCAAAACACAACAAAGATTTTTGGCAGGGTTGATTAGCTAAGCTATTTCTTTTCATTATTTTAAGTCAGGCCCTGAAAATAACTTGACATCAATGTTTTCAAAGCGTTTGTGAGGTTAAACATGACAATAAACCACCACTGACAAACTTCTGTGCCAATTGACTGATGCTGCTACATCCTCTAGATCACCCGTATCCATCTAGAACACTAACTTACTATCTAGCATGAAGCGTAAGCACATTATTACACTGACTCACCATGACAGCTTAAAAGAATTTACTTGATTAAAATAGCATGTCTCCATAAATAATCAATAGTACTTTTCAAAGTCTGTCTCAATAAAATTACTGTATTTATCTGACGTGGTACATCAGAATGACATTGTCTACTGAAATACAAGCGAGCAAAAGTGGTCGCAGTGAAACAGCAAAGAGAAATGGTGTCTTTGCTGAAAAAGGAAGGTAGCATTGAGTCTGTATATAACTATATGCCAAAGACCAATACGGGTGCATTTTGTAGCAAACTTACAGAGTCTGCCTACAGACAACATAAGGTTGATTTAGAGTAACATTCATAGTTTTAGAGAAAGTCATGGAAGAACACAGGGACACACTTCCTAGTCTGATGTCTCTACACTGCAGAAGAGAGTTTTTAATTGTAATTGCTTTTTGATACATCTTTTATCTCTGATCTACATCTGTGGTCTTATTTTCTCATAAAACCTGTTTTGAAGACATCTGAAATTAAGGTGTCAGCTCCTGATACAATTATAATGAAGACTTCTGTCTTGACTTTCATTTTAACTCGTCATGCTCCATCAATTATTCCCCAGCCACTTGGCAGCAGACTACCACACAGTACATTTTTCAAGTACTAAAACCCACAAGTCCAGCAATCCAGACATTCTCACACAACTGAAAAACTTCATATTCTTGAATTGGAAATCACAGAAAATAGTTGTTTCAGTAAGTGGTGCATGACAAACCTTTTCTTTGGTGCTTCAACCGATTTGCTTTTTTTCCTCCACAGATGAAAAATAGAGGCTGGGATCTTGTGGTTTTGACCAAACCAACCAGTGCTACAAAGATCTACAGCAAGCACCAGAACAGAGGGGAAACAGGAACACTCAGCAGAACCAATTTGCCCGTCAGCATGACCTGCTTAGTTACTCATGCCTGTAATCATCACATAGAGGAAACCCTGATGAAACCCCTGCAGCTGACTGTAATGTCAGCAATTTAAACTGGATGTATGATTCCTGCAACACTGAACTTGCATGTTGCATGGCATTACAAATTAACAAAGCTAGCATCTGCAGTATTGTTAATTATAATTCTTCAAGAATTCCTTTTTTTTTTTTTTAAAGGCATTTATGAGACATAGGTCACATGACTTGGTGTAAAAAATTGCATTTCTAAAAAAGTAAAGCCAGCTTATCATTGAAAAAATTAAATAAAACCTGTTCAGTAATGTTACTCATTTTAGCTCACCCCATGACTTAAGCTTGAAGTTCGTAACCACAGGAAACACAGAACTTGTCTTAAAGTATAAAAAGGTCAGCAGCCTCATTAAAAAAAAAGAAAAAAAAGTGAAGGTAAGGAAAGTCATGGTAAAAACAAGCAACATGTACCAGTCCATAGTAATCATGCACAGAAACAGCAGGAAGCAGTGCCTATCCAACAGAACATAGCTACATGTTGATATCTAAAGACTAATAGCTACTTGCAAGATGATTTTATTTTCCAATCACTTAACATTTTAGCAGCAAGCATCTAATTTTTAAAAGACCAGCAAAAGCCTAGCAGCTAAGTTGCTAAAGTTTAATACATTTTAGTATTTAACATTTAAATATCTAGATCTAGGTTTCTCTTTTCTCCTATTCCAACTTTCTTCATTATCTACTCAGTTCTAAAATTCTTCTACTGGCACAGCTGGTCTTGAGATGTGCAAAAGCTACTGAAAATGCCACAGCAGTGCTGGCCAGTCTGTCAAAGCAACCAACACAAGCTCCCACTTCATTAAAGATAAGAGATCAAACAGAGCTCTTACAAAACTATTTTGTCCCTCTCTACAGCACTGACAATTTTCAGTGTGCAGCAAATTTACTAGTGGATTTAATAAGTAAAGGTGAAGAGTCACTTAGCATTCAGAATGGATGAAGGGACCACAAACCACACTGAAATTTGACCACACCCTGAAGATCATCTGCTGTTCTCAAAATAAAAGGTCCGTTTGACTCTGAGATCCTAGCTTTTAAATCTCAAGGTTCACAAGCAGATAACGCGGAGAACATTTTACACACCTCTTCCTCCTAACCAGCCTTCAGGTTTGAGCAGGACTGTCATAGTTTTATGCTGGAAATCCTGGGAAAGCAGTCTTCATCTTACAACTTCAGGTTACATCCCTCAAACGACAGTTTCCAGCTTCTCCATGCTGTCCTACTCAAATCACCATTACGAGTTGCCTTCTTTCAGAGATCAGCAGCTAAGAGATGCAAGCAGAACAAGTTTTTATATAGTTTTGGTTTGCATTTGACTTTTGTCAGTCCAAGTCATTTAACATATATTTCTTTTATTTAAATTAGAACCTGCAAGTCTATGAATCTCTTAAAATTGGGCAATAAACACAATCATGTAGAGACATCTATATTAAAGTTATGTTTAGTGCATTAATGTTATAGCTCATGTAATGTAAGTTTATGACATTTCAACTACCCTTTAGGGGTTTCCCAACATTGTAAGTTGACTTATTTTGCAGCCAGAGATCTCCTGGTTTCTGGAGTTTCCTTAGACTTACATCAGTTTTCTGATTAAATTATGCCCATGTTTTCTTGAACAAAGATAACTGGGAGAAGAAAAAGAAAAAAAGTGTGGGAACTGTTAAAATGCATGAAAAGATCTTTAAGGGTTTGATTCTATCTTTTTCACACTTCCACAGAATACCATTTAAGCCTATCAGTTTATCCTCCTCTCCATAATCTGACCACTAATCACCTTGCCGGCAACCACTTCTAAAACAAAATGTTTCTGACAATTCAAACAATTTTTGGAAGAAATACCATAATACCTGAAAGTATCCCTTTCATTCAGTAACATTTCAAAATCACACCTAAGAACAGCAAAACAATGTATTTTAAGACCAAGCCCAATAATTTTTACATGTAGTCACTGAAGGTTAGCAGTACTGCAGTTATTCTACACAATCAATCATTCCTAGGACTATTAAGAATCACACAAGTAAATGCATGAACTAACTTAGAGATGAAGGAAACTATAGTGCCAAAACATAAGGTACTGCAAACATCTAATTCCTTTGGGATGATGCCATTGCCCTAGACTACTACTTCTCTGGTCTGTCTGCTATTCCTAAAATAATCATCATGTGAGAGAAGTTCTGAACAGCTGCAATTCAAACATGATTTCTATGTCCTGCACATCCTTCCCTTAAAAATAAACAAATGAAGACAGACATTTTAAATTTAGTCCCCTTTCCTCCTCTTCCCAGAACACTTACCCCTTTAGAGATTCAACCCGGAGACAAATTGCTGCCTTTGTGACCAGGCTCTGGCAGCATCCCGACAGCAGAGGCATTTCTCCTCCTACCAGCTTCAATAGTCTATTTCTAAAGAACACTGAGTGTTTGCATCAGCCAGGACACTGAGATGACATGCCCATGCCCCTGCCCCTAATAGAGTCTAAATTAGCTCTGACTGTAAACAACGAGGAAAAGAAGGATTGCACATAGAAACAATTATGGAATGTTTATGGCAACCCGTCTGTGGTCTCCTTTGTCCCACTCTGTGCCAGATTTAGACATCTGTTTAGACCAGAGGACAAAGTGACCGTCAGCATCAAAATTCATATTTGCCAGCTCATCCATTCTCTCTCTCTTCATTAGCACTTTTAGTCATACTTGTTAGTCACTGATGCTCTGCCATATCACTTCACTCTGGGGGGGCTCAGAGCCAAGACAGGAACTTCTGCTGCTGAATTCTGCTCCGGATGAAGGCAGACGCACAGCTGAAGCTCCCCCCTGCACCCGCAGGGACCTGTGCACCCCAGCCCCTCCGCACAGAGGTATGTTGGCACAGACTGCCCGAGTGCTGACTTCCCCAGTTACGAACATTTGCCCTTCCACAAGGCTTCTGGGTTCCAAATGACAGGTCGCATGCTGATCCTGCTTGCCACTGGCTGTAGAGCAGTACTCCTTCACTTTTAGTAGGTGCCACACAATTCCTCCCCTGGCTGCTGTTTTCCAGTGGAAAACAGGATGACTTATTCTGTCATCTGCCACTGTGAACCATCTCCATCCTTTCGTCTGGGCCCTTTTACAGAGTCTTTACATATTTTCAAGTCCCACCTACCCAACTGACTACTTTTTCTCATCATTCCTAGTAGGTTTCGGATGATATTAATACTGTCAGGACTCATATATTGAAACAAAACAAGAAAAAACAAACAAACAAAAAACAAAAACAAACAAACAAAGAATACACACACAAAAACCCTAAAACCTACATAATTTACATATAAAACATGTCCCTATACCAAAGGTATATGTAGCACACACAGCCTTTCTCTTTTCTTGGTTATTCACCAAAATTGCTGTAGGTGCCTAAGTTGGAAACAATTCAATCTCTTTTGATCAGCAAAATATTTGTATTTAAGTCTGTGTTTATGTCACTGCTTGCAAGCACTAAATATGACCCAAGTTTCAATTTTGCTATTGCTGATTGCATCAAGCATAGGATCCATAGAATTGCATTCATAGGACACATCCAGGGAAGGAATGGCAATGGATGCCTCAACACCCCACAACGTATCTGGGTTATCTTGCTGGGCTTGTTTCTAAACCAGCATGATGCCAAGCAAGCCACCAAAACGTAGGAATGAAAACACACTAGAGGAAATTTCCACTGGGTTTTCTTGATTCACGGTGTACAGAGATCAGGTGTAAACCCCAAATACACCCTCACTACAGCTCTCGTTACAATCAATTTATACCACTGCTGTTATTTTTTTAAGTTGTAATGGATGTATAATCAATTTCTGCAAACAAGGGTGCAAAACATGGGCCTTCCTACACCCTTGAGTTTCACACTTGTGCACTTCAAGAGAAACAAAATTCTAAACTCCATATACAGTATCCTTCAGTTTTTCTAATTATGAATACATAATAAAGATTTTTTGGACTCCTGTTAGGCAAAAAAGAACATAAAGCCTACCAAACAATAGGAAAAAAAAAAAAAATCACTGAAAACTGATTACTGGCATCCCCTTCTGTAGCAAACAAAAAAATCTGGAAACAAATTGGAGTTTTTCGAACAAATATTTTTGGTTTCTGACAATACTGAGAAACTGCACATAAAATATAAAACATTGCGTTTAGGTCACATGCTACTCTGCCTTTGACCGCTGCTTTGAGGATAGGGCCTATACAGCAACATACTTCCTGCAGACTGATCCTCTGCTACAGATTTTAGAACATGTCCTTGCACCTCACTAAGATAAGAAAAAAAGCCCCATTAAAGTTCTACTACCAATAGCGTTAAAAACAAGCACATGCTGCTGCCATGTGCTTTTTTGTAACATTTCCAAAAAAATTGAAGTTTGTCTTGCTGTTCCCTTCCCAAACCACTTTTCTATCATACTATGCCTGCTACAAACTTGCCCAAATGAATCAAAAAGCTTAAAAATTTTAAGAAGAAAAAAAACCAAAACCAACATGTCCCCAGCTCTAAGGAACCTGCACATTTTAGATTACCAAAATGAAGATGGAGAAAGACCACTTAATTCAACATGAAGAAACCCGCAGATCTACCACTGCTGAAAGGTCTCTCAGAGTGCAGCAGATACTCTGAAGATGGATGCAGCTTTGAATTTGAATCTGCATGTTGAACAGAACATGATATAGCACAGGCTACTTCCTTTCAAACCACAGAGAAGCTTCACTGTTGTGTTAAGTCTATCAATAAAATCCAGTTTATAATAAAATCTGTCAAATTACAAAGCTTTAAACAGTCTTTAAATAACTTTGGATCACAATCCATTGCCCTTTTTAAAAAAGTCAGACTTCATGCCATAGCCAAATCAATAGTACTGAAAAGACTACTGCAATTCATTTGCTAGCTCAATACGTCTTCTCTCATTTTCATATTCCTTCTAGGAACTGTTAAAATTTTCTATGCTTTGGAGTTTGGTTTTCCAATGAGGATGATTTTATAGGTCTCATTTGGTTTACTTGTTTGAACAGCAAATGTATGAGAGCATGACACATTTCAAGGAGTAGGTGCCCTTAACTTCCATTTCTTCTGGTCTGTTTAAACCCTCAGTTGAAGAGTTCCTTCCATTCAGAATTCTCAGTAAGTGCTTTGATCTGGCCTTGACTATCTCTTTTTGGTTGTAAATATGGTTACTCTATGGAAACCTGAAAAAAGTCAAAGTCAGTAACAACCCACCAGTCCAGCACATTCGGTGGCCCTGTGGAAACAAAATTTTAATATCTAGGAAAATCTGTCACAAGCTCAATTCTTCGTTGTCCACTGCAGGAATGTCCCCATATTCCTACTCCTTTTCCTATGCAATGATAGGTTACACACAGCTCTGAACTGCAGGGAAAGTAAAAACATAAACAAAGGAAGTGCTTTTACTTCCTTAAAGGAAACTGAGTAACTCTTTTTTAACATTATTATGAAACTTGAAAGAGACCTTATGATTTTGATGGCTCCAGGCCAGAACTGAATCTTACTTGTCAGCAAAACCATTCCAGAACATACAGACAATTAAATACTTAAAAAACAGCACCAGAATGTAATTATTTTAAACTTATAATTTTAAAATGGTATACCATATGCTCACAATTGTAAGAGCATAGATTCTAATCACACACAGATCACAGCCAGTGGCTGATCAGATAACATCACAGCTCCAAAAAGCACACAAAGGCAAAGCAGTTGATGTGCTTGAATTGTTACATTTTTTTTAGTTAAGCTTTTACTTTTTACTGTTTTAATTATTTGAACAACTCTCTCTCCTACTATAACATTCCCTGCTGCATGCATTGCAAATATAGACCTGCCTCCCTCTGTTCCACTGCCAGGGGTTGTATTCTGCTGCAAATACCTTCTTCAGGCACTAACTTTGAAAGCAAATATTGTAGGGATGCACTCAACGCTAGTTGCGATTAACCAGTGAAGTCAAATTGAATAAACAGATCAGTGAAGAAAGCTGATAAATGTAGGAAAATGTTTATTTCCCACACCAGGCCAAATTTACCCTATCCAATATCTGAGATAATGTTAGTATGAAGGACAGTATTTTCCTCTGCACATTTGCCCTTCCACTCAGGTTAGATGGATTTGAGAATATGATCCGAGATCCCAAATCTCTCCTTACGCTATTAGTTCCAGATGATCTTATACTGGGTCTGTTTATAACCTGACTGCATACATATATGTCTTAATGCTGAAAAGTCACATGCCCACAGTTCACATAGTGAGGTTGATTTGCTCACAGTATTCAAATAGAATGGATTTGGGGAGATTCTAGTTCAGTTGTAACAGCTTGCTGACTTAATTACTCCAAGATCATCAGTCTACTCACCATTCCACCTTGCACCCCCCTCTTCAGACAGTCCTTTATGCCTCACTCTCTAGAGAATTGATAGAATCTCAATCTACTAAATTCACCTGGGAACTCACCCACGACTCCCCCTGTAACCCTGAGCTAGCCATGCCTTCAGCTTACTCTAAAACGTAGCGTTTTACATCTGTTGATTTGACCATTACTGACAATGTCCCATAAAGTAAAACACAATTTTACTAATATATCTAAATTATACATGTGAAATATGGTAGTGCAATAACCTGGTGTTAGCAGAGTTTGTGCAAGAGGGATGAAAGGGCTGGCATTTATTTCATTACTGATCACATTTCTGGTCTATCCTTGTGCTCAAGCTATATTTTGACCCTCATCCCAAAATATTTTTCCTCCTGACTACAGCCCTGCTATGAGATTTGTTCCATCCTATCACCATATGCCAGGTCACCCAACACTCCGATATCCAACCACCTTTTTACAATCACAAGGTCTCGAAATTATGGGGTAGAGGTACACTTTTGTTGCCTGTCTTCCAAATGAAAAACTTTTGTTTCTTTTCACAGGTTACGCTATTATCTGTTGTAGAACCAACAGCTGACAGCTCATATTGGAAAAAAAAAAAAAGGCTAAACAGACTTTATCAGCAATTTTGTCATCTTCCTGCAATCTAACCCCGGAATGGTGATTACATAGATGCATTAGCAGACAGTCAGCATTTTCTGCTGCTCTTTCTTCCCCACAACACTTCGTACAACTGCCAACTTGCCTGGCTGCTGGATAGCTGAATGGGGAATAACACAGGCAACGTACTGGGAGAACGGCTGTGCTGCTGGCAAAAGGGCATGCCTGGTTTGTTCCTTGACCCTCATGGCAGCAGCACAACGTAACCTCTAAAAACACACCATCTTAGAAACAACCTGAGCACAAAGGTGCAACCAGGAGAGCTATTTCTTCAAGAGGATAAATAAAAATAGGTTTAGATAAACAGCACTGGCACGAAACACTATGTCCTAGCATTTCATTTG